TATCTATCTATCTATCTATCTATCTATCTATCTATCTATCTATCTACACACACATACACACATACACACATATTTAGTCTTCAGTATATCCCTGTGAAATAAGAACAAACAGGAATTCATTCACCACCTTGATTAGCTTGAAGTGGAGGCAGGAAGAAATGAAATGACCTACTAGCTTAAGGGGACAGCTAGGTGGTGCAGAGAATAGAGTGCTGGACTTGGAGTCAGGATGACTTGAGTTCAAATACTGTCTCAGACGCTTACTAGCGAGGTGGTTCTGGCCTCAGTTTCCTTGACTGTAAAATGGAAATAATAATACCACACAGTTTACAGGGTTGTTGTGAGCATTAAATGTGATAACATTTGTAAAGCACTCTGTAGACCTTCAGAAGTTATCTAGATGCTACCTGTTACCGACTTGGCCAAGGTTATCTAGTGATGAGAGGAAGATAGGGGCAAGGAACTGCAGGACCATGTTAAGGTGGAGAGACAACTGCCTTTGGGAATCAGACTGTCTGGACTGAAGACTCTTCCTCTGATGCTTGTTACCTGTGTGTTCTTGGACAACTCACTGACCTTCCCTGGGCCTCATTTTCTTAATTTGTACAAATAAAGGGGTTGAACAGGACAGACCCTGATAACCCATCAGCATTAAATCAATGATCCCCTAATTTCACCCCCAGGCTACTGTGATGCTGTTTACCCCACACAGACTCCTTATAATCCAAACCCAGGTCTGGTCAGGTACAGCATCACAACAAAGCTTCATGCCATTGGTTCAGGGGACTTTCTTCCTTTAGCCCTATTCAGTGTGTGCCTCTTAAGCAGAGCCCCTATGAAAAAGGACTTGGCTTTCTGACTTTTTCCTGACCCTATTGTTCCCAAATAAACCCACAATCCTTCTTTAGGCCTTCTTAAGAATTTTTACTGCTAGTAGCTAAGGAAACAGACAAGGATTGAAAATCACATATCAAAAGGGAAAGTTCCAGAGGTAAAGACATTTTAACAGTCAATCATTGATTTTAATGAAGTATAAATGCAGCTCAGCCTGAACTGCTTTAGCCCATTTCTGTTTTGTCTCAGGAGTCAACTCCACTCTAACTTTCTCTCTTTCAGCTTCCAGGATAGACTTCATGCCTCCTCCCTGTCTTTCCCTTCAGGGATCATAAGGAAGTTTCTTCCTTTTTCACTTTATGCTTTAGTCTCCAAGAATGGATCTCAAGGCAAAAAAATAGTATCAAAAAGTACCTCCCTGGGCCTTCATTTATGTCTCGGAGGATACTATCAGCCCTCCATCTCAATGTCTTCCAACTTACAGTGGCAAAGTGAATGATGTCTAAGAAAAATATGTCACACCTTTAAAATATATATTTCAATATTAATATATAATATTAAATAATATATAATATTGAATATATATAAATATTTCCCAATTACATATAAAAATTTAACATTCATTTTAACAATTTTGAATCTCTCACTCCTTTTCATTTGTCCCCATTCCTTGAGAAGGCAAGTAATATGATATCGATTATACATATGAAGTTTTGTGAAACATGCTTCCATATTGACCATGCTGCAAAAGAAAACACACACAACAAGAAAAATCAAGAAAGTAAAAAACTTTGCTTCAATCTTCCCTCAGAGATCGTCAGTCCTCTCTGGAGGTGGCTGGAGTTTTTGGAATTGTACGGAATCGTATTGATCAGAGTAGCTAAGCCTTTCACAGGCTTATTATATACATACCTTTCAAAGGCAGTTGTTTAATTTTGGCATGGCTGAAATCATAAAAGCATAGATACCAGAAGTAACAGGAGAACATTTGTTTCCTTCTCTCCTCTAAATCTCAATCCTGCTTTCTGACTTCTTGCATCTCCGACCCAAACTTCTCACTAGTTGGAATAGAAATGGGCGACCTGAGAATATAAATTACATGAGGGTAGAACTGTCTATTTGACAAGGATTACTGGAAAAATAGAAAAGTGATTTGGCAGAAATTAAGTTTAGAGCTGCATTTTATATCGTGTACTACAATAAACTCATATTGATATTCGACCCCAATATTAGATCACACCACAAAAAATGGAGAAGAAACATGGAACATTCTGAAATATGATGCTCTACCATGCTTTCTGCTTCTAAAGTACTTACCCAGACTGTGACATAGCTTTAATACAGATATAAAAGGCTTGGGGGTTCAGAAGCGTCCTGGAATCAAATCATACTCACCTACATTTATGCTAAAAAGACAATAAAAATGCTTTACCTTTATGTAGCAGATTTTCACTCCATAAAGTCTTGTCCCATACATTAATTACTCCAGGTGACTTTCCTCTCCTGAAAACTCTATGAGTTACGTAGAATGGATATTTGGATTGTAGGACTACAGATTTAAAGCTGGAGGCCATCAGAAGCCATCAATCTAACTGTTGAAAGTTCTTTTCAATGTCTTGGGTGAAGATATAGATGACATGCTCCTCACATTTTCAGATAACATAACTCGGAGGAACAGCTAACACAACGGATGATAGACTCAGGCTCCATAAAGATCTTGATAGACTCAAGTATTGGACTGACTCAAAAAAGGTGAAATTCAACAGGAATAAATGTAAAGTCTTGTACTCAGATACAAAAAATCAGTTCCACAAATTTAAGGTGGAGGAGGCATGGATAGATATCAGTTGTTCTGAAGAGAATCTGGGGATGTTAGTGGACTGCAGCTCAATGTGAGTCAGCAGCAGCATGACGGGATAGCCGAAAAAGCTAACACCACATTGGGCTGCCTCCAAGAATGAATAGGTCATAGTCCTGGTGTATTCTGTCCTCATCTGGAGTAGGATATTCAGTTCTGGGGCGACCCAAGATGTTGGTAGGTTGAAAAATGTCCAGAGGTGGGCAACCAGAATGATGACTTTCTTTCAGTCTATGTTATGTGAGGGTCGGATGATGGAGCTGGGCTTATTTAGTCTGGGAAAGAGAAGATGGGAGGGGAAGCCTGAGTTCTAGGTCCCTCTCTTCCCTCTACTTAACAGTGTAGCCTTGGGTCAATCTCTTAGCTTCTCTGAAAGAGGAAGGTCTCTAAAGTCTGTCCTAGCTCTAAAACATTCCATCCTGTTCCTTCTACTGCAACACAGGCCTAGAATGTAAACATTTGCTCAAGGTATGATTGTCATAATATTTTTGATGAGGAATTCCTATTTTATGTGTGAAAAAAAAATAAGGACAGACATGCTGGATTGACTTACCTGGTATAACAGTGGTAAAATGGAGGATTGGACCCAATCCTTGTATTTCCATTACCCTGTCTTTGTTCTTATGTGTGCAGACACACATGCACACTGCTGCCAGCTAATGGCACAGTGGATATAGTGTTGGGCCTGGAATCAGGAAGACCTGAGCTCAAATCTGACACTTATTAGCTGTGTGACCCTGGGCAAATCACTTAACCTCTGTTTGCCTCAGTTTCCTCATCTGTAAAATGGGGATAATAATAGTACCACTTCCCAAATGATCAAATGAGATAATTATAAAAATTATAAAGAAAGTAATTATAAATCACATAGTAAGCAATATGTAAATGTTAGCTATTATTATTATTATCTCCCATTTCCCAAGACTATTCTGGGGGCAAAATTATATAGAAAGCGCTTTGATAAATCAAAGGTAGGAATTATTATGCATAAAATTAAAAAATATATACTTTATTTAAACAATCATTTTTTAAAATACTGAGGTCCAAATTCTCTCCCTCCCTTCAGCTCCTTCCCCGCTCATTTGAGAAGTCAAGCAATATGATAACATTTATACTTGTGAAGTCATGCAAAGCATATTTACAAATTAGCCATGTTGGAAAAAAAAGAAGTAAGAAAAATAAAGTGAAAAAAGTATATGATGGTAATTTAAAAAAAAAAGCATCAATTCTATTTGAGAGTTCACAGTATCATAGACCTAGAAATGGAAGGGATCCGAGATTTTGAGCTGGAAAGAGCGTTGAAGATCATTGAGTGCAATGGTTGGAGAAATTGAAGCCCGGAGAAAGT